GAAGACCTGGCTCTAAATGGGCCTTCTCAGGCCAGCAGACAGGGCATGAGACAATGAATATTTATGTCTGTAATTACCTGATTTGCATAACTAATTGCCCCCTGTTGCTTTTGCAGCTTGGGCTGTGCCAATCGTCTAGATATGGGGCTGAGAGCCAACAACAGCCTAGTGCAAACTCTCTCTCTGCAATTCATCTGCTCGATGGCTTAAATAAATCACTTAGTGCCTCCACATCTCAATTTCCTACTCTCTGTAACCGTGGCAATGGTTTATACTTGTTTACCAATTAGCTGACTTAATTAATAAATTTAAATTGCTTTGTAGATAGGTGATATCGAGTGCAAGTAAGTATTAATTATTGTGATTTGTGAACACTTCTCAAGTGGTGAGTCTTGTATGCAAATGAGGCAATAAGTAACCTAATTTGGTAAAAAGAGAAATAAATGCTAAGTAGAAGTTGTGTCAGCAAGTGCAAATGTTTACATGAAAGCAGAAAGGAAGAATTAGAAAACTTGTTGGTGGGAAATTGTCTTTGAGCTGCCAAATTAATCTGTAGCTTATGGAGTCTAAAATGCATTGTGAGAATGAATAAGTTAGTGAGAGACTCTGGGACAGCTTCATCCCTTGGAGTGTGAAGTAGAAATCTACAAAATTGGACCTGGGAAAACCAAAGGCAGCCCCCAGGGTTTCTAAGGCCTTCCTTGACAGGAATGAATTACTCTGTTCAGTATTCCCGGATTGAATGTGTGTTGTGAACCACATCCTCTGCTGGATGATTGGTAGGGGGAGTAAGACTAAGAGCGACAAGTGCTGATGAGTTATTTTCAGCCTTTGAGGAATTCGTAACCTAAGAGAGGAAAACCTACACACACAAGTATTAACTAGCTATGACAGACACACAGGTAAGCAACAGGAGTTAGGAGAAATCAGGAGGTGATGTTTGAGCTGGGTCCTGGATAATTAAGTAGCCGTTAGCCAGGAAGAAAGTGATGGTGGGGACAGAGCACGCAGCGTGATCCTTGGAGCAATGGGCTGGCAGGTTATTCTGGCCATGCTATTGAAGACAGAAAGCACAGGACGAGAGACAGGCAACCAGGCAGGAGATGGTGGCAGGAGACGTGAGGATGTAGCCTGGGGAAGGCTGTGATACCAACCCGTTAGCACACTACCTCCTAGAAAACCAGAACCTACACAAAGGATGGAATTAGAGGTCGATTCTCTTAGTAACTGAAATTTCCCTTTTTAGTGGACCCTAAGAAAAGAAAAGCCATGACAAAGTAGAGAGTATAAACATGGCAGGTGTATCTAAGGAAGCCAAACACCTTGATTGTCTTACATAGTGAATACTCACTTTTGCAATTATCTGTAGGGGGCTATAATCATTCACTCATTTCTTCATCCACCCACCTGACACACAGACCACCAACCTAGGATTCTTCACTAGGTATTTGTCATTTGGGGACTCCTGAGAAATGAACCCTCTTCCTGTCTGAGGAGTCTCTCTTTGTTTGCCCTTGGAAGAGGCAGGTCCCCACCTTTTTTCTAAGGTAGCCATCAGAGAGCAGATAATCCCTCCCACATTAAGCAGCCAGGAGATGAGAGGTGACCTGGGCCCAGTCATCATCTAACTCCAGACATAGCCAAGTCTATGAATATGGGGATGAGGAGGCTGGTGAGGCAAAGGCCCAAGGCAGGTAGAGATGTAGGGGGTGGCCACAGAGCATAAATGGTGTGGCCATACCAGTGGTGCCATCCCCGCCAGGCAGTACCTCAGCTGCCTGACCTCCCGAGTTCTAGCCCTGGCCATTTTCCCAGCCTGGACCACAGCCCCTTAAGGGGACCCTGAAAATTCCCAGTATCTACAGAATATATTTATTTTCTTTCCATTTACAACCAAGAACATAGACTCCACTAAACAGCTTTCCATCCTGAACCTGGAGGCGTCTGAGCTAGATCTGCCCTGTCACTCCATTGTGTTCTCTTGATTCCAGCCCTACCATTAATGTCCAGCACTGTCCTGTAGTTCACCCAGCGCCAGACTGGTGGGTGCCATGAACCACTCCTAAGTTTCAACAGAGCACTCAAAGTTGCACAATAGTTGTTATGATTATTTTTTCTATATTTGTACCCCATGGCCCAAGTAAGAAAGGATAAAAACAAGCATTTATTTATTTCCTTCTATGTGCATAGCCTTGTGCATATATGTGTGTGTGTGTGTGTGTGTGTGTGTGTGTGTATCCCCTTTACATACACGATCTCATCTAATCATTATCTTTGTAAGGAGAGTGTTATTATCTATGTTTACAGGAAAAGAAACTGAGGCTCAGAAAACCTGGGGTGATTTGCAAAAAACATAGAATCAAGTATATATGTGCCTACTCTATTTCACAAAGCCACTGTTAAAAGGGAGTCAGGGAATTTTAGTAATCTGTGATAAATGCCTGTGACAGCTTATGCAACAAGGCAGGGCAGGATGACAAATGTTGAATTAAAAAGACAAGTATTTGAATAGATATTTCTCCAAAAAATACACTAATGGTCAATAAGCACCTAAAAAGATATTCATCCTCATGAGAATTGAGGTAATGCAAATCAAAGCCTCAATAAGATCCCACCTCATCCCCACTAGAACCACTAAACAGAAAAACAAGGGTTAACAAGGATGTGGAAAAATTGGTATTCAATGTATTGCTAGTGAAAAAGTAAAATACTTTTACCGAGTAATGAAAATGTTCTAAAATTAGATGATGGTGATGATTTCACAATTCTGTATTAATATACTTCACATGGTAAAATTTGCAGTGTATAAATTGTATCTAAATAAAGCTGGGCAAGAAAGTAATGCTATTAATTTGATTGATAATTATACCATCTGACATATTTCCTACTCAAATAGCTCTATAAAGTTTGCTTTATAACGGTCTTTCTTTACAGCTGACAAACCTGAGGTTACAAAAGTTAAGTGACTTCCTCAAGGTAACACAGTGAATGTAAAGCATTTAAGTTGACCCAAGCTGAAACCAGCAAACCAAGGTGCATCTGTCCCTCCAGTCACAGAGAAATAAATTCTATATGTTTCTCAAATATTATTCAAATGAAGGAACCCAATATGTTTTGAAAAGTTTTTGTTTAGTCCCACATTCAGTTTGTGACGTCCAAACTATTATTTCCATGCTATAGTTGAGAGAAAGCTCAGGAGATGTTTTTACATTTTTCTGACACAATTAATGAGTAAACTTCCCAAATGCAGTTTTCTTTGGCTTTAAAATGGGAATTCATTCCTACTGTATACACCATGCTTCCTTCTGCAGAAATTCAAATCCCTAAAACCTATTTGCTTCTGAGATGTCAAAAAGCTATCAAAATACAATTATTTCTTCATAATTTGTACAGAGAAACAGGTACCAAAAGATTGCAAAAATTGTCAGAAGTACTATGTGTGTCAATGATGATCCTCATTCAGTTCTCAATCCACTATTCATGAAAGTGTTTAAATCGTATAGCACTACCTAGAAATTACATTTAATTTGGTTTCCTTTAATTCTTGTGAAAGATATTTAATCTTTTTATTTTTTTTCTTTTCTTCAGTAGAAATGCAATAAGACAAATGCACGGATGGTACAAAAATAAAAAACATTTAAAAAATAAATTCAAAGACCTGTCCATACAAGAACAGGTGTTAAATTAGCCACAAGAGAAATCTCATGTTACTTCCCGAATGTAATACAATAGAATTACAGGGAATGCATCATTAAAAAGGGAAAAGCTTTTTAAACTCCTGTTCTCCAGTCTAAATTAATAGCTTCTAGGTTTATTGGTTCCCAGAAGGAAACAAGCTGGGTTTGTTTACTTCTACATATGAATAACCATGTCCATCATGTCCCATTGGAGGAAAACATACAAAAATGATTAATGTTCCTGGTTATAAGAAGTAAACAAAACGCACAGTCAGAGATTAGAAGGGAGAAAGGCTTGAAATGGAACACAAGTAATGGAGTTTGCTCTAGGAAATTTGGATCTGCGGATAGGGGCGTCCAGGAGACAATAATCCAAGTGCAAAGTTCAGTTCAGTACAAGAAAGACAGAACCCCTACTATGTGCCAACCAGCATTGAATAAGAAATATATTCCTGCCTAAAAATATTTAAGTTCTCACACCAATACCAATGCAGTACAGAAATTTCTGCATTTGGAGAGAAAGGATACAGGAAAGTGGGAAATAGAATAAGCAATTGTCAAGATAAGATGACCTTTTTTACATGGATCTTATGTAAAAACACTTAACATTCTCAAATCTTATTGAGCAGCTTAAACTAGAGCAACAAGTGCTTTAAACACATATAATCTTCATAAAAACCCTATGAGATACTGTTGCCCATATTTTCCAGATGAGAAAACTGAGACTGGAACACTCATGTGCCCAAAGTTTAGGTCTGTGTCTACCGGGCAGGGCCATTTGACACCCAGTCAATCCCCTAAGCCCTGTGGTTATCATCTTCTCTGAAAGGAGAAGGAGGACTCAAGGCTGAGGAAAATCATGGCAGGAATGTAGGCTGGCAGGAAAACATGAGCTGATGAGGCGTGCTCAGGAGCCACGAACCTGTGGAAGTCACTGGGAAAGAATCACCAGTGGGGAGAGGGGAAGCCACTGGATCAGAAGGGGCAAGACACTGGAAAGTGTTCCAAGAATTTGTAACAATCTAAGGTCCCTGCATAGCAAAACAATCTCAAATGTCACTGGTACACAAAACTCAGCAATGAGTTTTGTTCACATATTAGTGGATCAGCCAGGATGACTCTCCTCCACGTGTCCTTCAACCTTCATGCAGGGCCAGCTGGCTACTGCAGAATGTCTTTCCCATGGCAGTGGCAGAAGCATGGGAGAGCTCTCTCAACTGCCCAGGCCTAAGGGAAGTCTCTGCCTGTGCCAAGTCAGCTGTTAGCCCAGCAGCCAAAACAAGTCACAGGGCGCAGCCCAGTGTCAAGGGGTGAATAAGCACGCTTTGCTTTTGTGGTAGGAATACCTCAGCAAAGAGGCAGAGGGTACGACACGGTGAGGGGAGCAGAACAGGGGCCAATCATCCAATTTACCACAGCAGTTAAGGAGTTTAACAGCAGGTAGCTTCTGGGCAACCACTGATAGCTTTTACTCATGGGGTTGAAACAGTCAGACTAGTTTTGGTGAGGGAGATAGATTGAGAAGAAATGAGTTCTTGAGATGCATAGTTAGGGAATCACTTTTTTTCTTTCCTAAAAAATGTATGAAATAGAAAGTTTCCATTCTGGTTGAGAAGAATAAATAGAATCCATGTACTCGACTCAAGCAGATGACTTCTGTGATTTGGTACTGAAGATTTGTCAAACTCCGGGAAATTTGTGAGTCTATAAATGTTCCTATCGTTTTTATATATGTGTGTTCAAAGAAAAAGAAACCAAAAAGGAACTAGGATCAGATTTTAAATTTGCTCAAAGTTAATCGTTGTGATTATATCTTTTTACATGTTTTTTCACTTTAATCAAATGAACAACTGTTTAAATAACCACCTGCCTAATTTTTATTTAATATATACATTTTCATTCAATAAAAATGTGAAATCCTATTGTTTTTAAACTGACACAGGTATTTTTACAGCTCTGTACCAAGCTTATCTCACATTGTAGCATGCTTCATTACCATGCTATGTTTGAGTTTGCCTGTTGGAAAATGGGCTGTTATCATTGTATAATTGGACTTTGTAGTTATGTAGATCTGAACATGTACCTCTTCTGAGCTTCTATTATTTATTTTTTGTTTTTAAAAGAAAAATATTAGTTCCTACATAAATAAGGAAGTTGTGGGTTCTAAAGTGTATAGTAGACAGGCATGATGTCAGGCATGAGCTTTCAATAAATGGGAACCATGATTATTATTATTTTTGGCACCACCCAGTCAAAAGTGCACACACGATTACGGCACACCAAAGGCTTCTCCACTTAGGCATGAGCCGCTATCAATCCTTTTGAAAACACAACCATCAGGAGGAAAATGGGGTTGTTTCTTAAGAATCAGTGGCTCAAAGAATAGGTTTTTAAAAAGCTACAGCGTTTTCTCCTTGTTCACTCTGTATATAGCTCTGCACTGCGAAGGCTGAAAGTTATTACTACCTGATGACCTGCAATAACGAAGGTGGGAGCCCTGCTCAGTGCTGTGGTGACATGTGTCTAGCCCAGTCATATGAATGTCCTTAATTGCCATCCATCTTCATATACCCTGAGACAGGTCAAGAAGCCATTAACTGTACTGAGAGTGATCCCTGGCCTCTTCTGGCAGGGCACTGAGGAAGAAGGAGGAGAGATAGAAGGGAGAGGCCACACATCTACTTTTCTCCTTCACGTCTTCATGTAAGAGAGTAGATTAAGCATCTCCATCCAGAATATTATCAGTTTAGGTAAACATAAACTTGGCATTAGATTCATATGATGCTAAAGAAGAGTCCATGCTAATAAATGCAGCTCACATTTGACAAAGATTTTATCGCATACATTTTCATGCTGTGTATGCTATAACCTTTTATATTCCTTCCAAAATTAAAGCCTAAAACACCTAATCATCCATTAACCATAAAGAAACAGAATCAGTATATTTGGATGCAATTTCTTAAGCACAAGAGTCTTAACTTTCTCTCAAGCTCTTGCATTAAATGTTAAGGCAAGTCTTCTAGTTGGACATGCTTTAAACTATGTGGGAAAAATATGTTGAATTTTTAAACTACATTGGAGAAAAAGACAATATTTCGTGTAGAGTTGTCCTACAAAAGTATCATGGATGTGACTATTTGGGCAGTGTGTTTATTATTTTATTCAAGTGGACAAAAGCCAGGATGATTAACAAATTTATTGAATGTCAGTATCCCGACTGACCTAAGAAGCAGTGACAAGGATAGCAGAATGAAAACTAACAAGGATAAAATTCCCTCCACTAGTTCGGCAGGTGGGGAAAACTAGGTTTGTTTTTTTTTGTTTGTTTGTTTTTTGTTTTTTTTGAGACGGAGTTTCACTCTTGTTACCAAGGCTGGAGTGCAATGGTGCGATCTCGGCTCACTGCAACCTCCGCCTCCTGGGTTCAGGCAATTCTCCTGCCTCAGCCTCCTGAGAACCTGAGATTAGAGGCACGCACCACCATGCCCAGCTAAATTTTTGTATTTTTAGTAGAAACAGGGTTTCACCATGTTGACCAGGATGGTCTCGATCTCTTAACCTTGTGATCCACCCGCCTCAGCCTCCCAAAGTAGGTTTGTTTTTTCTTCCTTGAACGTATTTGAAAAATAAGTCTTTCTTACACATATCCCTACAATAAAGGACACAAGAAAGGGGTTAGGTAAAGGCAACACTGGGCCAGGACCACTGGAGGCTGCCCATGTGACATATTGCTAGAGGGCTTTAGGATATCGGGCCAAAGAGATCTCATGCATGCATAGTATATACAAGACATGCTCAACAGGAAGTCACGGAATGTGCCAGGAGCCTGCAGGTAGAAAATAAGATGGCCACAAAAGTTTGGGAGGCCAAGGCGGGTGGATTACTTGAGGTCAGGAGTTCGAGACCAGCCTGACCAACATAGTGAAACCCTGTCTCCACTAAAATTACAAATAACTAGCCAGGTGTGGTAGCAGGTATCTGTAATCCCAGCTACTCGGGAGGTTGAGGTAGGAGAATCACTTGAACCCAAGAGGCAGAGGTTGCAGTGAGCTGAGATAGCGCCATTGCACTCCAGCCTGGACAACGTTAAGGAAACTCCATCTCAAAAAAAAAAAAAAAAAGTCACAAAAGCCTCAATGAACTGTGGTACCAAAGCTGGAGACAAAGAGGAAACTAATGAGAGGGCAATACAGTGAAGCTATGGCAGATGGCAGGTGCAGGAAGGCCTTCAGGAAGACTCAGGGCAGGTGGCAGGTGCAGGTTGGACTGCAGCAAGGCATGGCAGGCCCAAGGTCACACTTGTAAACACAGGCTCCATAGCACAATGCCTGTGAATGTGGGTCTTCCACCAAACTGAGGACAAATTCAAAAGATGCTCTGTTCTCCTGAGTGATTACAAACAAGGCAATTAGTTTGGTAGACATCATCTAATAGAACCATAAAGTCTTCTAGAAAGACACACATTACAGGTGAAGCAACTTCAATCATGCAGGGAACATCTCCTTTGGCCCTATTCTGTGGGATAAAAGTCCAGGGTCAAGAGGAAAATCTAACCAAAGGCTGTGAGCCCCAGGAGACAAGGATCCCTGGGTGCTATCTCAGACTTGGACAGCCACACTGGTCTTTCTTACCTAGAAAGAAGTGGGGAAGGAAATGTTACAACAAACAGTCAAACAAAAACCGAACTTCTAGCTGGGTTTCTTCTTAACCGTTAACTTATTTCACAACGGCAATTTGTGCTTCATGATTTATGAGGCTAATTTAATCTCTTGCCTGTTTCAAACTTTATTATGAAACTCTCAGGCATAAGAGAGTTTATAATCTTTCCCTTTTCAGGGATGATGGGTGATGTACTCAGAAACATCAAGACTTTACCCTGGGCCATCAGGGTATAAAAGCAGGAAGCTGACACATTTGCCTACAATCCCTAGCAAATGCTACTCTGTCTATTCAGCTGATGCTAAGAAAGGTCTCTCTACTATTACGGTTTAGAATAGACTGCCATGAGGGGCAGAGGGTTATTCAACACTGGAAATTTCAAGCAAAGGCAGAAGAGCTAGTTGTTTAGGATACTGGAAAAGGACAAAGTGCTTATACTATGTGAATTTCTAGTGTAGACAATTAGCAAGCACATTAGCATGGCTGGAACACCTAGTATTTGCTGGGCACTATTAGAGATGCTTTACTTAGGCAAATGGTTTTGGTGGAGGTGGTGGTTGTTTTAATTAAATAATGACACAGTTCCATAGTGCCTCCATTTTACAGGAAAAAGAAAGAAGATTCAGAAAGATAAAGAAACTTTTCTGAGATTCCACATCTAAAGAATGTCAGAGCTTGGAGTTAATCAGAGCCAGTCAGGATTTTTGTTTTATTTCATAGGAGGGTTGGTTTGTTTTGCTTCATTACACAATACTACCTTACAGCCCTCGTACATGAGAAATGATTCTGCATGACCAGAATACGAATTTGATTCAGTTTGGCCTTTTTCACGAGTGACTAATCACATCACCCTTTGATTCAGAAGGCACAGCAAATGAGGAAAGAGTTTCTGTGGAATCATCTTATCCCAGTAGCTGTGCGGGAGAGGAGTGAGAAAAAGCAAAAGCTATAAAAACAGCTTTGAAGGTGGAAATAAAAAATACACTTCTAAATAGGAATGGTACCTTTTCCTGGCTCCCAAATGTTTTTCAGTCAAGAAAATGGTAACTTGAAAGAGGTTGAGATGAGCAATGTGAAAAATAGAGGGTTTAGCTGTAGCAGGGTAAGGGATATGAAAGATGGCCAAAATCTAAGTTCCCCAGACTCAACAAAGTATCCCTACTCAACTCCTCAAACTCTACGGCTTGCCTGAAGACAGAGCTTAATATTTTTAGAAGTATGGTGTTACCATGTTGCTTGGAAAGGCCTAAAGATTCCCTAAATCTTCCCTATGATGTTCTTGATTTCTAGAGGAATGAAGAATGAAGAGAAAAAATAAAGTAACAAAGAAAAAAAAAAGATCAAAGTTAGACGAGAACCTCCCTTTAGCTATTGTCATTTAAAAAATGTCAACCCCTAAGAACGAGGAGACTGCAAAGAGGGTAGTCAACAGTGACTGAAAATGGAGAGGACATGGAAGGCGAGGCTGGCAGAAGTCAAACTTCAGGAGAGCAGGGGGACAGGACCTCATTTTAGATCTCTGAATTCCAGTTTAGAATTACCCACAGTCCTTCAGCCGCCTTTTCAGTTCATGTGTGGGAGGTGATTTTATGTGTTAGACATTGTTCTAAAGGCTGATATCAGATTCACAGCACTGTTGTCTTCCAGAGACCCAGGACTGAAGAAGAGAGAAGGCTGGTTAGCCGATGGATGAACCCAATGTTCTAAGCAATGCAATAGTCGGGTATCACCTAGGGTGATACAGGAGTAAGGAGAAGAAGGGTCTGTGCTCTTCATGTGGTGAGTCAGGGGTTAGAGTTGTTTGTATTAACCAAGCAATTAATGTCACAATGTTAACCTTCTTAACATTCTGGCCTCAGGTTGGGTACACTTCTTACCCAACCTGAGTGGAATTCTCAACTCCAACATTCACTATCTATGGAAACTTGTGCCAATTATTTAAATTATCTAATCCCCAGTTTTCTCAAGAGCGAAAGGGACATATCAATAGTCTTTCCTCATGTAATTTTTATGAAGTCAATGAAAGAAATATGTCTAGCATGGTACCTGAAATATATTATGCCTTGTATAAATGTTGGGAGTTGTTTTCACCATAAATTAAGTGTCTTAGTCTGATTGTGTTTTATGAAGGAATAACTAGGGCTGGGTAATTAATAGAGAAAAGGAGTTTCTTTGGCTCATAGTTTTTCAGGCTGTATGAGAAGCATAATGGCAGCATCTGTGTCTGTTGAAGGCTTCAGGCTGCTTCCACTCATGGTAGAAGGTGAAAGGGAGCTGGTATGTGCAGACAGGGGGTGGGGTGCCAGGCTCTATTTCATAACCAGCTCTCACAAGAGCTAATAGACCTAATTATGTGAGGGCGGCACCAAGCCACTCATGACAAGTCTGTCCCCATGTCTCCAACACCTGCAACACTGGAGAGCAAATTTCAGCATGAGATTTTGGGGGCACAAACATCTGTGTCATAGCAATTAGACACAAAGACTTGAATTTGTTCTCTCCATTGAGGGTTTGTAAGCCTCATAATCTTCTGGATAGACATCTTCTTCCCAGAGTGGATGGATCAAGATGATGGAGGCAGGAGCTTCAGGTTCAGAATATGTTGTCTTTGGAGGTGATGCCAGTGCTGGACTTTTTTTGGCTCAATTGCAAAAGACTGATTTTTTTAAGGACTCATTCCTGGTATAGGTACAAACATTAGTTTGGTATATCTTGTCCTGCTGGGCTACAAATTGAAATAATTGTCCATGTTTCTCAGATCAGTCAATAATAGCATTAATATATGTGGGGGAAAACCCAGGTCTTTCATACTATAGTGCCTTTCAAAAAGGAAATACACTGAGCAAAAAAAGAAAAAAAAAAAAAAAAGAAAAAAAAAGTGTGAATTTTAAGACCTTCAGGCTCCACAACACTGGATCCGAAATAACCTTGCATTGTTCATTGTCTAGCAAAATCACTGGCACTATAGCAAGGAATTGCCCATTCTCCCAGCTTCTCACTTTGTTATTCACAATCTTGTTTATAATCTTACCTCACCACCTCAGTCATTATGCTTTATGACACTTTTCTGGTCACTGCCATTGCTTCTGCCCTTGACAGAAGCTTTAGGTTATCCTTCTGTCTACATGTCAGAGTGAACAACCCACCCAGTGTCTAGAGGCCTTGGCAAATGACCTGTCAAGAACAAATCCCTTCTAGGTGTGCTCTATTACAGCAAGCAATGCTAAGATTTCCCATGTGTGTTCATCAGCAAGACTAGCTGCACAATCTGTGAGGCCTAGAGCAAAATGAAATTGCAGATTCTTTTGTTCAATACGGCAACAGCCAAGCACTAAAGCTAGCACGAGCCCTTCCTAGAGCAGGTCCCTGTGCAATTGCATAGGATACATACCCATGAACCCAGCCCTATTAGTTAGGGCCCAACCAGGAAACCAGAAGCCACCGTAAGTATCTGAAACAAAGAGAACTGAGTTCAGGGAGTTGGTTACTCAGATTATAAAAATGCTGAGAAGATTAAGAAAGGCAATGAAACACTCCAGAAATGAGTAATATTAGGAAGCCGTCATTTCCAACCCTTACACCAGAAGGACACAAGCAGTAGGCTTTTCTGAAGCCCAGCAGCTAGAGCCATCCCACAAAAACTGGAATTCCAATGGGTCTGTCTGCCAGAGGCCTCAATCACAGAGCAGATGTTGCTACTGCCTATGATACTGCTGTCTCTTCCTTCCTCCTGTCCTCTAGTATCCCCCAATGCCTCCTCACTGACTGACTCAGACATGAGGCAGTTGACACAGAAACTTTCACACTCAGCCTGTAGGAATCAGCCCTTCTGCGAGACAGCAGAGGCGGTGAAAGATGAAGGGTGGCCTGACCGAGGCAAGCTCAGCCCATCCCACGTACTTTGTTGCTCACTGCTTGCTCTCACCAATTTGCCCTTATATAACATCCTTCTTCTCCGTGTCAAAGGCCACCAGTTGCACAAATAGAAGACACATTCACACTTTTCCCCAACAAGACAAGCCCCCTTGCTCATCGTATCCACTTCACACCCAGGGTCCCATGGATCTACAGCTCCCGCCTTGAGGAATGAGTATGACTCTACATGATCTGATCATCTTTGAACTAAATAGCAGCAACACTCCTCACATGCGGGAGTGCAAAGGAAATGTTTGGCATTGCATATACAACAGAAACATGTAATTTTTTCAATCCTCTTTTCTGTGACTAGTAAAGAAGCAATAATTAATATTTATTATTTCTGTCACCCACATCTACTCCAGGCTATTCTTACCCTCCATTAGCACTTCCCTGATTTGTGTCCTTCACCTAGAAGAGTCCCTAATGGTCCTCACTTTATTGAGTCATGAAGTTTTCCATTGATTTTTACCTTTGAACCTGGAATTACTGAGAGGCATTCTAGAGAATTCCTTCGTTTACAGATCTAATCACGACCCTCATTGCGAGTAGCAATCCATTTTACCCTTAATAAAATAACTGGGTTTGATCATTCCAAATAGCACAGTAATCTCCTCATGTGCCAAATGGTTTACAGTCATGACGAGCCAAAAATAGCCAAGTGGCAGTCTCAAGGTCCAGCTGAAGGGGGCCAGTGTTTTATTCACAGGGAGAAGCATTCCTCTCTTGGAAACAAGGATATCTAGACCAGCAGATTTTAGGATTTTAGGCACATAAAGCAAAACCCCTGCAAAGGTTATTTATATCCAGGTCCTGGCTCATTATTTGCTCCATCTGATAGAATAGCAATCCAATCATAAAGATGATTCTCTTCCAGTCATAAGCAAGTTATCTGCTGACATAACATGGCTTGATTAGGCTACTTGCTCCTAGATAATGGGTACATGGCAAGACCAGTGAAGCTGGAATAAGCATTCTGGGCATGTACATGAAATTTTTACCCATTTATAGTCACTTGGTACTTCATGGCAAGTGCCACTCTCTGCCAGGACTCAATGGCAAGCAAGAAGCTGACTATTAAAAGGGGTATTATCATCAACAGAAGAAACTGTGACTTTGTTCTAAACACCCCAGGGTCTGCCTTATGATTTTCCTTTCAGGACTGGCTGGGACCATTATTATTTACTAGAGATCTCTCCTTGAGCATCATTAAATCTACTGGATCATAGGGTTCAAGTACAGGAAGGTTCATATCACAGCCTGGAACTGCTACAGAGCTTATTTCAGTCTGGGCCCCATGCAAAACTAGCAGCCTTGTGGATTTTTCTGTGCCTTGATTGGAGAAGTAAATTTCCAAAGATCCCAGGACTGGGATCTGATTATAGTATATATGCCTCATGAACAATCTCTCTAGAGCTTTAAAGGGTTTCCAGTATCTGCCTGTTCTTTTGTCTTAGCCCCTACTCACTAGAGATACACCTGCATTAAGGCTTACAAAAAATAAAAAAATTAAAAATTAGCTGGGCATGGTAGCAAGTACCTGTAGTCCTAACTACTCAGGAGGCTGAGGCAGGAGAATTGCTTGAACCTGGGAGGCAGAGGTTGCAGTGAGCCAAGATCATACCACTGTACTCAAATAAAAGGAATGTATGCTATTGTCTCTAACCCTGATCCATTACCACATTAATCACACTAGCCTCCTCCTCCCCTTGTTGATCTGTAATTTCAGCTCCAACAGTGAAAACCTGGATCCACCCATCTACCACACATTTACTTAGGTATTTGACTCCAGCATACATGCATAACAGTACAGATGTTCCTCAACTTATGAAGAGATTACATCCTGATAAACCCATCATAAATTGAAAACATCACGTCAAAATTCATTTAAGACACCTAACTTACCAAACATCATAGTTTAGCTTTGCCTACCTTAAACATGCTCAGAACACTTAACGTTAGCCTATAGTTGAGCAAAATCATCTAACACAACGCCTGCTCTGTAATAGTAAAAATAAATATAAGAGATCAAAATTAAACGTATGGTTTCTACTCAGTGTGTACTGCTTTTATACACTATAAAATCCAAAAATGATTAGTCAAACCATCATAAGTCAGAGTCCATCTGTATGAGAATGGTTAACTCATATCCCAGTGGCAAACAAACTTATCAACTAGAGTGCAATTCTTACATAAAATTACTTTTGCCTTTAGTCTTACAGACTTCATTCATTCTCAGTTGAGTTAGCACTTTATTCATCTATCTCACCTTCAGTGAGATGGTTTCATGTCACTTCGTTTGTAATCAAGTTAGATGGTTTTGTCACATTCTGCATTCCATCCTGGAATCCTCTGATCTCTTAAGTGGTTTTCTTTTTTTATGTAATTTTCCTACATTAAGGTTAACTCATCATGCTGTAAATTTCTACAGGTTTTCACAGTCATAATGTCATGTATCTACCATTACAGTAGAATACAGAATAGTTTTACCATCCTAAAAATCCCGTTTCACCTATTCGACATCCCTCTCCATTCCTGCTTCCCCCAAACCTCTGAAAACCACTCATCTGTTTACTCTGTATATAATTTTGCACTCCATAATATCTTATAATTGGAATCATTTAGTATGAAGCTTTTCTTTTACTTAGCAATATGGATTTATAATTAATTTGTGTCTTTTTATAATTTGAGAGCTCTTTTTTTTCTCTCTTTTTATACCAAGTAATATTCTATGGCATGGATGTAAAAAAGTATTTTATCCTTTCACCTACTGAAGGACATCTAGATTGCTTCCAGTTTGGGGTGATTATACAGTTGTTACAAGCATTCTCAAGCAAGTTTTTGTATGAACGTGTGTTCGAAATAACTGGAAAGCTACCTAGGAGTGCAACTGCTGAATTGTATATGTTACGGTTTAAATGTGCCCTCCAAAATTCATGTTGAATTTTAATTTTCATTGTGGCAACATTGAGACTTTAAGAGGTGATTGGATTATGAGGGCTCTGCCCTCACGAATGGATTAACACACAAATGGGTTAATTGATAAATGAGTTATAATGGGATGAAACTCGTGGCTTTATAAGAAGAGGGAGAGAGACCTGATTTAGCATATTAGTTCACTCAACTTCTCACCAGGGGATTCCCTGCACTGCCTTAGCATTCTGCAGAGTTCCTACCGGCAAGAAGTCTCTCACCAGATGCAGACCCTGGACCTCGGACTTCTCAGCCTCTGTAATTGTAAGAAATAAATTCTTTTTCTTTATAAATTACCCAGTTTCAGGCATTCTGTTATAAGCAACAGAATATAGACTAATACAGTATGGTAAGGCTATTTCTAGCTTTGTAAGAAACTGCCAGACTGTCTTCCAAAGTAACTGTATCCTTTGCACTTTCACCAGAAATGATTGAGGGTTTCCGTTCCTCTACATCTTAAACAGCATTAGGTATTGTCTGGTATTTTTTAATTGTAGCTATTCTAATAGGTGTGAAATGATATCAGGTTGTTATTTAAGTTACATTTTTCTAATGACAAATCATGTTGAACATTTTTTCTTCTGCTTATTTGCCATTGCATTTTTCTTTGCTGAGGTGTCTGTTCAGATCTCTTGTTTATTATTGAATTGTCATGTTTGATTTACTGTTTTGTTTTTCTCAATTTTTGTATAGTTTGGATATAAAACATTTGCAAATATTTTCTCCCAAACTATGGCTTGTATTTTTATTCTATTAATGGTCTTCCACAAAGCTGAATTTTTTAATTTTAGCAATATTTAAATAAATATATTGTCTTAAAAAATGAATTTTTCACAATATATTTAAAAAATTGTCACAAAACTCAAGCCCACTTAGATTTTTGGTTTCTATTTTCTAGTGGATCGTTTATGGTTCTGCATTTTGCATTTATGTCTATAATTCATCTTAAGTTAATTTTTTTGAAAGATGTGAGGCCTATGTCTAGATTTACTTTTGTTTGCATGTGGCTGTTCAGTTGTTCTGATACTATTTGTTTAGAAGACTATCTTTTCTCCACGGTATTGCCTTTGCTCCTTTGTCAAAGATCAGTTGACTATATTTGTTTGGTTCTATTTCTGGACACTCTATTCTGTTCAAATGATCTATTTATCTATTATTTCATCAATATTACACTGTCTTAATTATTGTAGATTTATAGTAAGTCTTTAAGTCAATGAGTATCAGTCCCCTTTGTTTTTACACAATATTGTGTTGACTGTTAGAGACCATTTACATCTTCTATAAACATTAGAATCAGTTTCTGATTAGACATTCCACAACTGCTTTCTGGAATTTTAATTGGGATTGCTTTGCATCTACATATCAATTTAGGGGTGACTTGCATGTTAACATCATCTTCCGATTCATGAACATGGAGTGTCTATCCACTTATTTAGATTTAGTTTGAGTTCTTTCATCAAGGTTTTGTAGTATCCTCCATAAAGATCCTATATACATTTTGCCAGACATAGGCCTGAATATTTTCTTTTTTGGTGCTATTGTATTTTCTATTTCAAATTATAATTCTTTATTGCATATATATATGATTCTTTATATATTTTCACTGAATCCTGAAATCTTGCTATACTCATTTATGTTCCAAGAATTCTCTTGTCAATTCTACATAGAAAATCATATAATCTAAGAATAAAGACAGTTTTTTCCTCCTTTCCAATTTGTATATAATTTCTTTCCTATTCTTGTCTTATTGCACTAGGTAAGACTTCCAGTATGAGGTTTAATATGAGCAATGATGCTCTTCTAGACTTTTCATACTCTTTATTTCATCACCCTCATTCTGGGATGCAAAAGTAAAAAACGACATCCACAAGGCAATCTAAGAAGCACACGTTTTAAATTCACCTCTTCAGTTCCTGCATTGGCCAATCATCTTTGTATCTTTCCCATTAAATCCTAGATTGAATATAACTGATACAAACAACCTGAACTCATCCTATATCATCATGACCACATGGACTCTGTTTTCTAATTCTCACTGAAGAAAGTGAAAGATTTTAATGGTGGTAACTGATATCAAGAAAGAGAGGGAACAACTTCAGACACGGGGCATGTAAGGAGCAGCCAGGGTACTTGGGATAAAAAAGAGTTGATTTGAACAGGATGAATTTAGGGACTAGGAAGTGGGGCACAATATAGAAGAAAAATAAAATAACAGAAAAAGCAAAATGCATATACGTTAAATTTTACTTGTATTGAAGGGCTGGGTAACCCAGGTTTTCACCTTTCTTTTCCCCTCCTGAGGAAGGAGTTGTCTAACCTGAGGCAGCAATAAATCTCCGTGCCAGCACCCCAACTCTGTGACCT